GGAAATTCAAAAGGACCTGGTGGGGTACAGGGCTCATTTGGCTTTAGAGTTTATCTGCTTCACTGGAAAGCGTGCGAGTCAACAAATTGAGCAGGCAAGCACCGGCATGTTCTCGCGCAAGCTTTCAGGTGTTCTCAATGCTGACCCTCTGTATACAAGGTGCTGAAGGCAAGCAATAATTGTTCCCATTTGGACGTATTCGAAGGAACAAATCGGCTTTCCGAGGCCCTGGACTCCCTGGACAGAGAGTACCAAGCCAGCTATGACGGCAAGGCACCCAAGGCCTGCGTGGAGAATCTGCACTTCGGCCTGTGGGGCGAGGAGCTCGGGAGCTACGGGAGCGGTGGGATGCAAAGAGTTGGCCAATGAAGCCAAATTCGCCATGGTTGGGGTTAGTAGGGCTGGTCGCGGACCTTTTGGGGAAATTGAGAATTGTGTGATCCCGCTGAGGGAACATGGCCCTCCTGCTATGTGAGGTGTGTTTCTTTTTTCTTGCGATCGCGAGGACATGTTCATGGACCAGTGCTTGCGGACGGTCTTGCAGGTGACTGATGGCCGCTCAGCTTAAAAAACAAACCCGAGGCTCTGGCTGGCAGATATGAGGTTTGCAGCACTCTCGGCCAATAAAACACACGGTTTTGAAAAGCCGGCGGCCAGCCTGGTGGTTTTTCCTTTCATTTCCTGTTCTCAAGCATTCATTCCACTCTCTTTGCATCAAACAGCGTTCAACCCCAAAGTTGTTGCCGCGACCACTAACGGCGGATGATGGGGCCTTAGACAGATCACCGCTGACATGGTCATTTTAGTGGATGGGGTTGTTGCACAACATACTTGCCAGCTGATTTGAATTCCTGAGAACAAGCGGCGATCCGCATCGCTTAATGTGCCGCAGGTAGGGATCCTGCGCTGGAGCCTTCTCTGATGTCTGGCGCTCAGCATGTGCGACAACCGAAAGAGTTCTGCGCGTCGGATGGCGACTGCCTCTGGATTTTGAAGGTTTGGATGAACGGAGATTTCACATAGAGGTTTCACAATTTTGCAGGATATGTCCAGAAGATTCGGATGAACCTCTGTAGATCATTTGCAGGGCATGAGGACTGAGCCGAAAACCCTGAAGCCGATTCCCTGTTTCTTTGCGATCTTAGAGCTCTGGGCCTCGATTGACAAAAGATCTAAAGGTATGCGTCGAGAATGGGCGACTGGAGAAGTTCGCCCCAAGACCAAAATAAAGCAGTGGCGTATTTCCGGGAGCAACAAAACAGAAGAGAAGGCATAGGCATGATTGCATGGGCACAGAGCCTGAAGCACCATGTGTGTGTGTGTGAACCGTCCTGGAGCACGGACACAAAACTTGAAGCAGCAGGGGGGCTGTCCACTGCATGGAAGTGACGGCCCAACGAAGAGGCTTCCATCAGTGCTGATGTGGATTCTGGACGCAGAATCCACGTACCTGCAGTGATGAGCAATTCCTTTTGCGGTTTCTGTTTGTCGCTGTTGCTTCCTGTTCGGTGTCGATGTTGTGACCTGTTGATTTGCATTTGCATTCAAGCATTTTTACTGACTGCGTTTTTTCATCTCGGCTAGTGAAGCCTCTCGAGATAAGTGTGTTTACCCACGGCCTGTCCGACATGGCGCTGTGGGCTGGACTCGCCACATGCGGGAGCCCCCTGCGAGGGGAAGACCGTTCATTCATTCGTTCAAATTCAAGCCGCAGTTCAGCGCGATTGACCATGGTCAAGGCAGCAATTTTGCAGGTGAGGTACTGCCATTAGCATTGCTTGTTGCACCTGTAGCATTGCCTGCACCTTGAGCAAGGCAGCAACCATGAGGTTTCGGCTAGGCTGCCGCATGTGCAAGGGACAGGTCGGTCAAACACCGGCTTTGCAGTTCATCGGCTTATGCTCTGCACTGACTCTGATCAGTTCAATTCACTTTCACGTTCAAGCGACACCTGCATTGACATGAGTTGGACCGACAAGGCAGCTTTTTTGAGGCACAGGTCATGTGTGAATCACTTTCCCGCACAGTCGAAGATTGCAAGACTCAATGGGCCTTGCATAAGTGAGCTCGCCCCACTCGGGGCCTTGTGTGTGTGAACCGTCCTGGAGCACGGACGCAAAACTTGAAGCAGCAGGGGGGCTGTCCACTGCATGGAAGTGACGGCCCAACGAAGAGGCTTCCATCAGTGCTGATATGGATTCTGGACGCAGAATCCACGTACCTGCAGTGATGAGAAATTCCTTTTGCGGTTTCTGTTTGTCGCTGTTGATTCCTGTTCGGCGTCGATGTTGTGACCTGTTGATTTGCATTTGCATTCAAGCATTTTTACTGACTGCGTTTTTCATCTCGGCTAGTGAAGCCTCTCGAGATAAGTGTGTGTGTGTGTGTGTGTGTGTGTGCGAGTCCAGTGTGTCAGAGCGACCTCAACAGCAGGAGCAACATGTTAAAGCCAACCTCAGCACTCTCAACTCAACCAACTTCCTTCCTTTCTCACTGTAGCTTGAGTTTCGGTTGGTGGGTTGTTGCTGTTTGGACGCATGATTCATGGACGCTCCTCGCATATTACACCGACCCAACACATCAGTTGACATCAGAGCAAGACGCAAATTCTTGAAGAGTTGTTATGTTTCGCCATTAATTCTTTATTTGAAGTGAGCTTATGGCTCTATGAACAGTCTAGCGCTTTGTGAAAAAGATGATGGCAGACTACCCATGGGCTGCTGGAGCATTTGTGTAGGTGCGAAGCGCACTGCGACTGCCCGGACTGGTTCTGGCGCGGGACCCAGAAGCATCTTTGTGTCATGGCCAACACACATATCATCCGTTTGGTTCAGACAGATTAGGATCGTCATCGTACCTCTACTGAATATGGCAATACAAATTACAAAGATCCCGTCCCCATCTCACATGTTTCCCAGAATTCATAGGGTTTCATCCCGCCCAACTGATGCAGGATTTTGTCGGGCAAGGATCAAAGGGCGAGAGCTATCAGACATATCGTTGCTGATATCCTTCCCCAATGCATGGGGTGTAGATTGAAACTGCTCGATCCCTATCCAAGCCAAAGTTCGAGGCCAGCCTTCTCCTCCATCTAAACCATCATTCTGCACTGACCCCTACAGATTGACCTGCTTTCCAGGTGCAGCGGCGGCAGCGCCTCCTTCCATCCCTTCAAATCCATCGACAGCTGCTTGGCGCACGTGCCGGCTCGATAGCAGGAAGCCACACACACACACACAGCTGGAGCGCACCTTGCGAAACACTTTCCGCTGTGTGCACCGTGCAAGCTGAGGCTACAGGAACTGCCTTGCCAACGCTATTCAGTCAGGAACGGTGGGAGTGGGGAGGGTGAACACACCGTGAATCAGCATTGTGCACTTATTATTCTGCATATTATTTGTTAAATGATCCATGCCCATGATTTGCAATGCCATGGCAACTTCAACTTTGGTTCCATGGGCTGCAACTTGAAAATCTGAAGACACGGCCAGTGGGAACTTAAGAGGCAGCAGGTTTGAGCCCCCTGCTTGAATCCATCACACAGAGTTGCCCAGAGCCTGGGTCGCCCTTTTGAGGGATTCCGACAATCTAGTCAACTCATGCTGGGATGATCGTTTCTCATCGTTTCTCGATGGTATTCTTATTGTTCTGGTTTGGGGTAAATGTGCATCGGAACACCCCAGTTGCTACCTTATTCAGAGCAGAGTCATGATCATCTGCTTCTAGGGGCCAAGAAAGGCTGTGCATCTCCAGAGAGTTGGCTCGCCAGGATCGATGTAAACGCACGAGATGGGAACGCACGGCTGGACGCGTGGTGGGAGTATTTGAGATGGGATTGTCTCAAAATGGATCCGAATCCGAATTTGCTTTTGTGGCTTTCCCTCAATGGCCTTGCTGTTTTTGAGACACGCCCAAATGCCGGCTCTTTGGCCCTTCGCATGGTCTCCGCTCTTGCCCATACTGATGGGAAGCCTGACATCCGTCGCCACGTGGTTCGCAAGATGGAAGCTGTTCCCGAAGACTTCCCGGACGCGTCTTTCAGGATATGCTCTTGCTTGTTGTGCAGGATTATCAGCGCAAGGGGTGTTGTCAAAAAAGGTCGGGCCCCTCTGGGAGCCCTTGAAAGGAAAGGGCTGGGCATGTCACTAGGGTTCCAGGGCTGAATTGTGGACAACCCTCCACATCCTGATTTGTCTCAAGTCAACCTGTGCCAAAGCTGCACGAGACTTGGGAGGCCAGCGGGAAACATCGCATGGCCTCTTTGCCTCGTCATGATGTCTTTCAGTGACGCGTGAACCTCACTGACTTAGAGATGTGGCAGTTCGCCTGCGTGTCACGACCGTGGATTCGCAGACTACCCTGCCGGAATCGCATTGCATAGGGAGCCACAGAGCCTCCATGGAGGTTTTGTAGATTTCACCGCTGCAATTCTCACGTAGAGCCCAGCAAAGCTGCCCTTTCCCGGTGTCTGCTGGCAGAAAAGCAACAACTGCCTGCCCGCGGCTTTCGCGGGCAAAAGGCGAATCTGATGGCGTCAGCTTTTCGAGGCTTGGCCTTCGCTTTGGGCAAGCGTATGCCATGGGTTGTCTGAAGCTTTCTGAACCCCAGATGGAGCTATGTGATGTTATGTGATTCGATATATATTGTGTTTTGTCGTTGTACTGTAGAGATTTGGGTATGGGTCAAAATTAACCCACCGTGGGACCGCAGGTTTCAGTCTTTGTTTCCATTTATCAGGGCAAGCCATTTTGGGCACCTATTTTTGACCCACACGCATTTAACTATTTGGAGGTTGCTCAAGCTTTTCCAGCTACTTGTCCTCTTTGCAGGGGGCAGGATGAGGGAAGCTGAGAGCACATCACAGTGATCATTCAGTATTTGTAGCCAACTTCCTTGGCCAGCTGCAAGGAACTCATGGTGATTTGAAGGTGAAGCCTTGCCTTTCCACTTGCGCGCTACTTGGGTCAGCAGCCACTTGCACCAGATTCGGTATGGCCAAGGCCTCAGTGGCAACGACGGGACGCTTGCCTTCTGGCTGAAGCTGGGCGGCTTGCCGAATGGCGCGGACCGCGACGTGAGCTCAGAATACACCAATGAAGAGTAAGACACTCATTCTTTTGAAGAGTTCTCCTTCGGCCGCCTTCGGCACCTCATAGCGTCAACAACGCTGAACACGAAGATTACTGCAATTGGAAAGCTTGCCCGTGAAAGAAACGTTAGGCAAATGCACACATGCTTGGAGAAGCCGCCTCTCTTAGAGCTGCGTAGTTCGCAGGTTCCAGTCAGCATTTCTCAAAGGCTTCACCGGGAATATCCTCTTCTTGTCTAAAGATCTTATTAGGGGTCCAAGTGCCCGAGACCTGCGTTGCGTTGGCAGAACCACACCTGGGTTTGGAGCGCTTTGTGCGCTCCATCTGTCGCCACTTGCCACACGGGCAGGACTGCCGATTGCTGCGCGGGGCCGACGGGGTGTGGCGCTACTACGAGGTCAGCTCCCAGGCGCATGGGGACAAATTCTACGAAGGACCAAGCGGCTTTCCTTTTGGGCCATGGCGCTTCGGTGTTTTGTTTCACCGCGCCAAAGTCAGTTTTGGCTGCAGTCAGTTTTTGCCCTCAAGAAAGTCTTTGTTTTAAACTCCCCCTTGCCAAGGACGCAGGAAGCTCCCGTTTGGGAGACGGCTGCTCACCAGATTGTAGGTTCTCCCGGTTTTCATCATTGCTGGAGCGAATCAGTGTGAACCCCGGCCAGGCGAATACCTCCATTGGTGAGGGGACCCTCCGCACCCCAGCAGGCGAGGACATTCCTCAGGACCGTGGTAAAACGAGCAGAGGGATTCCACGGCTCAGTGCATTGCCCAATTCTCTACACCTGCGAAGAAATTATGTTCCTCGGTTTCCTGACATGACTCTTCGCGGTCCGTGTGTCATGCTTGCACCTAAATTGCTGAGGGTTGATTGCTAGTGAAAGAGGAGGAAGGCGTGGTTTTCTCACGATTCGACATGTCTTGATTGCGGCAAGCAATCTTGGAGTGTGCCTTCGTCGTCATTTTTATTGCTTTGACTTCGACATGGCGGATGCGATTCCTTGCTTGCCCCGGGTGTTTGGCCCGGGGCTTGCCGGCAGGACGATTACGTGCTCACGCCAACCGGCGGATTCCAGGCTGGCTTGGCTATTTCAACAGCTGTGGACTCAACCGTACGTGAAACAGTGGGAACAAGGGTTTGACACAGAAGTCAACAAGGCACAGACTGCCTTCCGGTGGTGCAGAGATAGTCATTTGCCCCACAGCAGGATTCTCGATTGATGTCAGAAGTGGTTTGTACAGGGTAGCTGAGCAAACTGTTCCGTCATGCACACGCTTCTGAGCCCATTGTCTCAAATCGCAACTTAGCCGAGCAGTATCATGATACATTGAGGCGCCGATGTCCTGGCAAGTTTTAGAGCTTCGGAGTTTCGGGCGCTCCATTTTGTCAGGTTGAGTTATTCAAACGCGAAGGCCATCCAGCAGTGACGAACTGGGTGGCAACCGACGCAGGTGGAGTATCGCTGCTGTCCCCAGCAGCTGGCGACGACGGCCGCCCCCAGAAACAGCGCCACACCTGCGGAGGCAGAGATCGTGTGGGCAGCACATAAGATGCTTTGAAGGGAAACACAATCTTACATAGACAGAGACAGAGACAGAGACAGGGACAAACGGACTGATAGTGCTGCAGGGATTCGCCTTGCCCAAATCCAGAACATGGATGCTCCCTAGACTTGGAGACCCCTCTTCTCAGTTGGATTTGGAGGTAAACACAATTGAAGTCACTCCAACTCTAGAAATGCCAGCTCAACAACCAGCTGGCAGTTCTGAGACTGGACGTCACGCGCGGACTTCAATGTTCCTGGCGCAGGATGATCCGATGAATACAGCGACGGGGACTCAGTGGCATCCGTTGCTGGGGGTTTTTCTAGTTGCCATTGGTCAAAGCTTGTCATGCGTGTCCCCCAAAACCCCAAGGGCACCTCCCTCTTCCCTTTTCCCTTCTCAAAGGCATTCCCAGGCGCGAAATCATTTTGAATGTCCCTGATTCGCACTTGATGCGTTTCTCGTTCAGCCTGCCCTCCATCTTTTGGAGCCGAGCGCCTCAGGATCACGGTGGCTCTGGTTGCTGGGGGCGTTGTGCCGCCCAGCGGCATTTAGGCTGGTGTTTGCATTCCCCCGGAGCTGGTGGAGCTTCATACAACTTACGCACTGGCTCTTTGGCAGGCTTTTCTTGGAACGAAAGCATTTTTCTCCGGGAGACCATTGGGCAAAACCGGGGCGAATGGAAAGTGTTGGCTGAGCAAAGGCTCTTGTGATGCATGTTTGGCTGCAACGTTTCTGATTGAGTTCCAGAGATCGAAAGATATCTACACATGTATGTGGAAGCATGCAAGCACCCACGAGATATCATGGTGGATCAGTTATCAGCAATTGCGGGATATCCGATTCCAGAATTGATTGTGTAGGTGCGCATCTCTTTGTTGGGTGTGCCAGTTTGAGTCACGACAATATTCTTGGCACGGCTGAGGCTTGTCGTCTCCGTGGCTGCGGCCTCAGCGTGCTGGCTTTGTGTTGGAAGCCCCGAGGTTGGTGCATTTCGCTATGGCCAGAGATGGGAAAATGTCAGAATATGTCCAACTGTTGAAACTGGCTTGGATGGTAGAGGACCGCGGCAGGAACGACCCCGACGGCAATGTTCCGGCTCGACTTTCACAGGTCGCCCTGTGCCTCATCCAGCGGCCTGGAGCCAAAAGCGGGCGCTTCATGGCTTCCTCTCGATACCAAAGCCATGTGGGACATGTTGCTCTAAGTTCTTGGTCAAAGCAATGCTGATTTTCCCCCGACAGTTGCATGGCGTCGTCGTCTTAGCCGGTTGCAGGTGGTTGACACGCAAGGATGGCGCGGTTCGTTTGGGGTTCACCATGGTCTACACCTTCGGGATTTTGGACTGAGGGTTTCAGTGAGTGCAAGAGGTGGAAGCCGAACCTGCTGCGGTCGCGGAAGTATCAGGCCGGTGTGACCAGGCTACAGCCTCCAGTGTGTGTCTACTTCTTACAAGCTTCCCAAACCGGGGACCCCATGCTCTTCGCCTCTGGAAGCGTCCAGCAGAAAATGTGGGATAAGCACGCCTGCCTCTCAACATGTTCTGCGCGCTTCTCTGACCGTTGTTGCATGGCTTCACTCTCCAAATGGACAACTTGACTTGGGGACCCTTTGCCGGATGCTTAGGGGATTCATGCTCGCCAACCACTTTTTGAGGTGCAGTGGTTGAAATTCCCCGCTAGAATTCACCGCGTGTCGATGTGCCAATCTCTCGGGAGGCCTTCCAGGATGGCGCTTCCAAGGTGCAGCCGCAGCCGCGCTTCGAGGTCTTGGAGAAGCCAGGCCAGTGTCAGTCGCCTCAGAGAAAGCGTGCGCGTGTCATTGGGGCATGGGCCATGGCTATCATCTTGCCAACGCTGCTAAGCGACCACTGAATGTACTACTGGGACGGCAAGATGTCACACCTTCCCGGTCCCTGTCGCTCGGAAGTGGGGGGGATGTGTTTGCCTTCGAGTTGCTATTGACTTTGATTGGCAGGTGCCGCTGCCGCTGAGAAGGCCGGGTGTCTCTGGGGCGAGAGGTTGAATGAGGGTTTGCCTATCTAATCTTACGTGTACCTCGAAGTTTCGCATCGAACCCCCAGTTGGATAGGGAACATGTTGTGATGCACGCTGGCACTGTACAGCCATTTGTAGTTGCCTTCCCGAGGCCGCCACTTGGCACCAGTGGAATGTGACGCCGAAGGTTCAGAGCCGGGCTGCCGAAGGTTCAGGGCGATGGGGACACGTGTGATGTGTCACAAAAAGCGCAGCCCGGTGCCACTTGCGCCTCGTCTTCGGACTTGATCGCTCTTCTTCAAAGGCCGAGCTGGCCAGCCAGCGTTTTGCACCAGCAGAAGCAAGCAAATTGCAAAGATGTGCAGACTGAACTCTCCTGGCAACTCAAGATGGACCCCCCCAAAACGGGGCTCTCAAGATTCCTTTGCAAACAGATTTCCTTCGGTTTCCGAGGTGCCTCGCACCGCAAGGTGGTTCCCCATCAGCGGTTGCTAGAAGATTGAATGAAGCATGAATGACGGCAAAGCTCGCCCACTGCATTGCAAGCTTGCAACATTCTCACATATGTCACTTCCTTTAAGTGGCCAAAAATCAATCCGAGGTGCCCATGAAATCGGTCGGTTTCATATTCACATCCGTTCGAAATGACTCTTGTAGAAACAAGTGTCCATTTGAAGCCAACAAGCTCAGTCGTCGCTATGTTTGCTTCCCCGTTGCTTTTGGCTGGCCCACGACACTGACGATATTCTCGAGGGTACAGACATGGTTTCAGTTGGCTTCCATCAAGCCTTGATGGCTGCAGGCCAGGCGGTTTCCTCGACGCCGGCAAGTGCAAGCAAGGCAACTCCGGCCAGCAAGTGGCAAGTCGGGTTTCATGAAGTGCGCCAGGTAGGTGGCACTTTGCTTCCCAACAAGAAGAATCCGGACAGGACTGGTTAGAGCCAGCCACTGGGTGAATGACGGAGCCAGCATGAGATCAAGCTTTTAGCTTGTTTTCTGATAAGATCGTGGAAGCAAAATCTTGGGGATGGCGTCAACACAACATTGATGATTTCCAGATCTACAGAAGCATGCTTATGGATTTCTAGCGTTGGCCCTTTAGACTCTCCCCACCAGCCAGACACATGTTTATCGATTCTTGCGCCACAGGAGCGCTTCGGCAATAGCAGATGTCCTGGGTCGGGAACCAAGGCTCTTTCCTTTGTTTTTTCATGCAAAGAAAGGGGTGGAGAAGTGACTCGTTCTCAAAGAAGCGTGTAGAGCTGTCGGGATCCTTTTGGTAGACTTGAGATACCAAGAGTTCACTGGTTGTTCTGTGATCCAAACAAGGGCATGGACCCTCAGCTGTGTGGCGGTCGGGTTGATTGTTTGCGCGGCTCGTCGGCTGCATCGTTGTCAAGTTTTTGGCGGGAAACAAAGGCCCTGCGTTTTCACCACGAGCGCCAGAACCTTCAAATAAGATTGTACACAAGTTGTGCAACAGGTAGCGTCAAGCCATATTAGACCCACAATTGCAGCTCAAGTTGCTTCGCTCTTTTGCCAGATTTTCACGCTGTCCACAAGGCCTCTGAGCTTGTGGTTCTGGGTGTTGGAGTCTTTGGAGTGAGAACATGGAAGACATCCCAAGGATGTAGAATATGTATCCTTGTATAGATAGTATAGACCGGCGCCCGTTGACATTTCTGAAAGTGCTAAAGCACGGAGCGAATCCGGAACGAAGCAGTCAATCTCAGAAACTTGCTCTGGGGGGGGTCTGCCGAGGCAAGTCGTCTGCGATGGCTGCCCAGGACGGGATCTACGAAGGCCCCATGAGGCTGGAGGGCTCAGAAGGCAAGGGTCACGGGTTCAAGACAGAAGCCATTGGAACCGCGCAAATTGATTCCTGAGCAGAAGCAAACCGACCTGTGTCGCTTTCATTTCCTTGCTTGTAATGGGACTTGATGCAAGCCCAGCATCCAAAGATATTGTAAATATTGTCGCCTCTCCACAATTCTTGTTTCTCCTGCAAAATCAGCGCCTAAACCTGGATCTCCGGAGCCCATGAAACTTCCGGCAGTTTGATTTGCAGATTTGCTGTCAGGCAGCTCTCCGTTGCCCTCCCCTCCCCTTTCGGACAGGCAGTGGTGGGGACCCGGTGGCGCTGGTGGAGCTAGCAGTCTGCCCGGTTTGTTTCGGGCAGTCGAGGGGCCCATGACATTTCCCACCTCCAAGGGGCCTTTGCCGGGATCCATAGCTTTCACCACCCTTGATGTGACGAGACTTGGTCAGAGCTACTTTGTAGGGCAAGAGCGCAGCAAAACGAAACTCTACCGAGCCTCAAGGGAGGGGACATTTCTCCGGCAAGTGTCAGTAGACGAAAGCGGGGTCGAGGGTGGCTTGGATTTCTCGGGCCCCATATGCCCTAACCCGTGACCCTAAAACCCTAAAGGCCCTAAACCTTTAAGGTGCTGACCTTAAGCCAAAGCCGACTGTCCTAAAAGGCGAAATCCCAGGTAAGCCGCACCGAACCCCCTACAACCAGCAGACGGCCAGATCCGATGCCTATAGTTCGCGGAGCATCGTGGGGTTCTTGTACAGGCCGTGTTGGCATTGAGCGCCTAAGGCAGCAGTGGTGTCGGAGGCACAGGCAACGAGGGTTACGGTGAGTGTGCAAACTCCTTGTCTGCAAGTCTTGGCATCCTCTTGAGGGGAGCATCTCTTTCCGAGCATATCATTTGGAGGCATGCTTTCTCTAGTAGTACTCTCTTTCTGGCCAGCATGCTTCGCTGATCACTGCTTAAGTCAGCCGTAGCTCTTGTTGTGAGGCCGTGCAACTGGCACCGAAACCTTCACACAGTCCTGACATAGTTGGAGTCTTGCTGACAATTTCCGCTTGCAAGCACAATATTTCTCTTGTTCAAATGCCGCAGACTTGAGATACAAGTCTTGTTGGTTCAATTCCAACAAGGGTTTCAGGTCGCCGCCCTGAAGGCTTTGTGCAGTCGGGGTGCAGCCCCAGAACTCCAGCAGCAAAAACTAGCAACGAGGTTCACCATCAACCACTGAGAGGTTTTTTAGCTTTGTTCCCATCCAAGCTATCACGAGTCCCCGGTTGTAGCTTGCCGGAGAGGGGCATGGCTTTAGAGGGTCAATCGGGAGGCTTCCAGCTGGGCGACAGCGTGCGACTCCAAGGCTGGGAGATGGCTCTTGCGAGTCGTGCACGCTTTGCTTTGGGCCTTGCATCTAAGCTCTACCCTTTCCAACTCACTCAAGCGACATGGTGGACAGCCGAATTTTGTTTGCCCTCATTTTGTGGAGATGCTCTGATTTTGATACCTATGGACATGGACCTATTGTCTCCAGTTGCCCGCTTGCGGGCGTCGGACCAAAACAGGGTCACAGATGCTGCGCAGGCTTTTTTGCCTTCAGAGCAGAAGGCAACCACCATAATCATGAATCAATACTGTACCTGGTCGCCAAGCATTCCTGAAAGGGAGTGGTCTGAAGCAGGGAACCACAGGGGGGAAGGTGTCAAGTCAGGGATTTGTGGCCGTATCAACCTCTTTTATAGACTTTTATACGGGAAAACATGTGTCCATGGCGGAGTTTTTCAACCTTCCCGGCCCCCTTTGCTGAACATGGCCAGGCTTGACAGCCTCTGCCTGGAATGGCCTCCGCGGCACGGTGGAAGGCCAGTCGATCCGAAGGTGCTAGGCTTTAAAGAGAGCCATGAAGCAAAAACCACGCACACACACACACACACACCCACACTCTGGGTCTCTCTTTGTGTGTGCAGGTGACGGTCCCCTTTTTATCTTGTTTTTTTGGACAACCAAAGGGAACAACAACCAAAGGGTTCACCTTGAGTTTATTTTTTTGAGAGGAGCTGAGCTGCGGACAACAGTGAGACCTGCATGTTGCTTTGCTTTGTAAAGGAATGTAGCGAACAGACAATAAAGCAACTGAACACGCAGCATGCATGACGCTGTATGTCACGCAACTTGCTATGCAGGCTTTGATCCGCAGAAGGGTGCCTTGGAGGTGAACGCTTGGGCCTGAGGACCAGTCTACAAAAGCCAAGGGATACCTGTGCTTCCCTACCCTTCAACCCACAAAACGGGTGCTTTAGAAACGGCGCCCACCATTTTTGGTCCTGCCTGACTGTCGGCCTGGGAGGTAGCATCAAACAAATCGAGCTTGCCTTGAGTATTACGCATGCCAGTTCAGGTGGATGGCCGCATCAAATTGGCGCGGCGCCCAGGTGAGTTGCGTTCGTTTGGACGACCTCCGAAGTTCCAAATTCTTCCCTCAAAGGCAAATGGCCAGTCAAACATGCTCAAACACAACCGCGCAAGGTTTGCATGTAGCACATAAGTCAGTTGCGTCACCGCGCTATCCCCATATGTGCTCCTAGCTTTCGGGCTCGCTTGCGTGTTCTGACAGCATCAAGGCCCATGGAATTTCGATGTACGCTGTAAGTTGGACCGCGTCCAAGATCCAAGCAAGTCACACGGCTAGAAGGGGAATGGGCCAATACATCACATGCCCTTGAGAAAGCATCGGTGCAAAGCAGGTGACACTCGATGACCCATTCCCCATGGACGCTGTGGCCAGATCGCACGCCTGAGACATCAAAAAAAAAAGGTGAGCCTTTCCGGGCTGAGGTGAAGCCTGAGAATTGCACGGCTGCCAACGGCTTTCGCAGCGCAGGTTCTGGGCTTGGATTTTTTTGTCATTGCAGTTTTTATGTTTTTCTGTTATTGTGTTGCTGGTGGTGGCAGTGGTGGAGGTGGGGTTATTGTTGGCGGCACACTGTGTACCACCCTGGTAGATTCAATCAGCATGAAGCGAGCTGAGGCGAGGCTGAGCTCACCCCATCACAGCTGAGGAGCGGGTTTTTGGCAGGGTTCGAGCCCTTCCTTCTGAGGATCAGTCGTTTTGAAAAAGATATGCTAACTCCCAAAGATTCTCAAAAGCGCGATGGGTGAACACAAATTCAGGATAATCTTTGCAAATGGTTGCCCAATGTGGCTTTGGCAGCGGGGTTTGGCAAGTGGGGAACCCCACCGACAAGTTCTTGGTTCCTTGACTTACCCTGCAGCATGGCCATTCTCCAGAGCACCCTTGCCTCGGACATGTCGCGCAAGGCAGCCCTTAGGTTGGCTACCTTGAGTGCTTCCTTGCCTTAGCAAGGAGAATCTGTCGCAGGTGCCAGTCTGAACTGCTCGCAAGGCCAGCTCCCTGCTGCGCTCTTCTCTCTGAGTCTGCTTTTCTTTTTGATTCCTCCCCACTCAGGGAAGCAATCAATCAGCCCTTGCGCTCTTGAGTTGCAAGGCCGTTCCACAGTCACCGTCTGCCTATTTTTCGAGCTTTCTGTGGGACAGTGGGCGCGAGCATGATTCATAGGCTGCTATTTTTGCCTCGCTTCGGGCTCTGCGTACTTGCATGGCCGGTGCGAGTTCCCGAAACAAGATGTGGACAAAGTCGACTATTTTCATACCTCACAGCTTTCCGCTAAGTTCGTTGAGGACTTGGCTGGCCTTGGGAGTTTGCTGCACACACTGCCTCCCTGTGCCGGTGGCAGTCGAGTCGATGTGGTGTGGCCAGCATGAGCTCGAGGTGCAATATTCCCGCTCTCACTCCGTTGCGCTGCTTTGTCGCGACCCTGTCTTGTTAACACCTTGTCGTGGGACAGCTGAGTCTGCTTGCTGTTCCTTCCTCAGTTCGTCTCCTTTTGTCTGTTCCACCCTACTAGACTTTTGCTTTTGAGGCCTTGCTTAAGGACATTCAGTGCCCGCATGGCTATTGTGAGGCACGGACGTAGTTGACCATTTCCAGCCTCAGTTTTCCACTGTATCCTATCTTTGGGGTATTCGATGCGCGCACCGCTCTGCGCCAGGTGCATTCGAGATGCGCACAGCGCCAGAACATATTTCCCCCTTTCGTGTCTCCTGCTGTTCCAAGAGGTGGCAGCAACTATTCCGGAGGATAGGGTCCCTTGTTTTCAGACAGCGGGAAACCACACAACAACACATGGCTGTGGGTCAAAGTCAAACCACCAGGGGACCACAGGTTTTAGTCTTTGGTTCCATTTACCAGCGTTCCATTTTGGGTACCTATTTTTGACGCCACATCGACTTGCCCACTGGCTTTAGATCACCAACCCCTTGCATCGCCTTGGACTTGGCACGGGCCTCCCCAGGACGCAGCTGAACGCGGTGCAGGTCGACAGCCCGCCAAGAGGCGGGGGAAACAGCTGTTTTCCGGCTGCCTGCTGAAATGGCCTTTCTTTCATGGCAAGAACAGAAAGATCCCCAGGTCCCAAGCAATCGCCACGCCAGCTTGCTGACTTTTGCACATGTACTTTCAGACTAGAACGTCGCGTCTTTCAGCTGAAGTGAGTCGATGGGCCTGCCTGGATGCGTGTATGTCTGAAGAGCACCAAGCATTTGAAGAAAGACCCTGGTCACCTGTGCCCCTCTTGTGCGGTACCTGCAAGGAAAGTCAGGGAAAAGGCGCGAAGCGCGCACTGGTCGCCATCCAACCCGTGCCAAGGCCCCGCGGCCAGCTCAGGGCCACTCGGGCTGCAAGAGGGGCCGAGTTCCGGTTCGGACAGGTAACCACAAATGGCTTTGGTTTACCTGGAGGCAAAAAGCGGGCCTCAAAGTACTTGATCACTTCGGGAACCCATTTCGTGAGGGTTTTGGACGTTCCTGAGCTATGACCATGACCGACATGGGGAGTTGTGACGACAGCTGTCACGGCCTTGAAGTGCCCTAATCTGCATATGTAGTAAATGCGGTTCCCCCGGAAAAGGTGACTTATGGGCTCAACCACAGCAGCAACCGAAAATCAAGCCGTTTCTGGAGCCTCTCCGGTCATGCAGGTTAGCATTGTCTTTTGGACTTTGGTTGTCTGCGTTGGGTAACTTGAGCCACAATCAACACCTGGGTATAGAGATGCAGGGCGGCAGCCCTAACCAGAAATGGGTGCGGCCTTTGTATAGTGTTGGTCATACTCCTTCAATACCAGTTTTTTTTTTTTTTTTAGACAATTTGTTATTCTTTGTGACTCGGCCAACATTTCTTGACTCTCACTTGATTGAGCTGGCTCTCGTCCGCCGGGCTCAGCAGCTTTGCTGGCTTTGGTAAACAGGGTAGCTTAACAACAAACAGTTCAATTTGAGAGAAGTGCTTCTGAAGAGTCGAGTTCATTAAAGAATGGTCCACATGCGAATTGGCTGGAGCTGCTTTTTTTGTCAATTCTTGCGTCTTGGTTTTCCCACCTCCCTTCATGAGACTCGTGTCACTCGAGCAAGTTTATGTGGGGCATGTTTGTGCCGTTCTCTCAACGAACATTTCGGCATTGTGTGAACTCCAATTTGGCGGCCCTGAGACCTAAATTGCCGACTCCTGAGGTGACAAATGACAGCATGCAAAATGTATGTTAACACACGAGCAACACAGAAACGGTTCAATAGTCTGAGCGAGCAACACTTCTTGCCTTCCTAGCTGCCCTTATGCCTCTCAACACCTTCACTTGCCAACATGGATCACTGGCCCAGGCCGTTCAGCAGGGATGCTCAAGTCAGCCGATGGGTGCGAGTCATTGCTTTGGATCACTCCTGGATAAACTTTGGGAATATGCGGACATTTTGTATTGTGTTGACGACCCACCAAACTGGGGTTCTTGACCCTGACAAGTCTATGACGGTTTGTGTATGCGATTGCGGGATGGAAACTGCTCTGAGAGTTGCGGCGTGGGGATTCCCTGTGGCTGCCTGCCAGCTTTTCAAACATATGCAAGGAGTGCGGTTGAAGGTTCAAGGACAACCTTGATTTGGGTTGAACCACCATAACGGTTCATTTTAAGCGCTCCTGAAGTAGGTTTGATGCTGCGTGCAGCATCCCCCCACCTCAACTTGTTCAGCTCTGCAATTTGTGATGTCTGTCCAGTGCTTGTTTGGAAGATGTATAACATCCTGCATTTCATGTTTTAATCTTTCCGGCATAACCACAGGAAATATCAAGGTGTCACACCTAGGGACTGACCTTTTATTGGTCCACTTTACAAGGACACGACCATCAATCCCGAAGAAGAGGTTGAGTCTGAGTTTTCACACATTCCCACGAAGAGTTTTTGCCTTTAGAGCTCGGGGGGACCCGTTTAGGGGATCTAATAAGCACGTTCCAGCTTGCACCCATTCTTGGTCACCCTCAAAGCTTTGCCGAGGTTCCCCGTCTGTTGACTCCTCGAGGATGTCGAGGCTTGGAACACGCCAGCTATGAGCGCCGCTTGTGAAGCACTTTGCAAAACCGATATGCGGGTGCTGGCACCCATTTTTGCCGGCGATTCTTGCAAATTTTGGAATCCTTTGACCAAGTTCCTCGGTGCTTGAGCAAAAAGAGTGTGCATTTGGTGACGGACGTCTTCCTAACCTTCAGGTATGTGAATGTGGCAAAGTTTGAAACCTGATTGATGGAACGACAAATCCATCGCATGACAGCTGATGAGGCACTTGCCAGGTCATGGCAGCCACTGCATTCGGTCCCTGCTCGTGAATAGGCCTTCAAGCATTGCAAGGGTTCCTGATAGGGAAACCATACCTGTTGCAAGGGTTCCCGATCAGGAAACCATACCCATTCTTCTTTTTCCTCTCTCTCTCTCTCGCTCTATAGATAGTGATACCTGTATAGAATCACACATGTGACGAGTCTTGCTCAAGCGCATATCTGAAACCCTGGCTGGACTAGGCCGAAGCCGCGCCCGGGCGAGCCGCTTGGGCCGGGCCTCCGCGAGGCCCGCGGCTGAGGGATGTGATGGGAGTTTGGCTCACGCCATTGTGAGCCGCATTTGAGCCATACTTCAAGGAGCCCCGCCCCCCCCCCCCCCCGGCTGTGCGGTTTCCTTCTTTTTGAAGGGACAACTGCGCACAGCTGCAGTTCCGGGTTTTGTTTTGTGCTCTTGCCGGATGAATAGGCACCATGTTGGCATTCTGGCGAAATGGGCTGGAGCTTTGCATGCTCTACTCTACTTGCAATTGTACCAAGTTGCCAAGTCTTTGAACAGTTACTCCACGTGTGCTACCTTAAGGGGACTCGGGAGGTCAGATGTGATCGCCAAGATCAATATTTAACACGATAAGTTCGAATTCCTCCGGTTCCATGCATGAGCTGGTGCTGAGATCCTGGTATCTCTACGATTCTATCTTCAGTCCGCTGGGAGTGCCTTCGAGAGTCAGCTGAGGACAGAAGCCTCGGTCCGACTCTTCGCAGCAAGGGCTCAGATGCTACCACGAGAATTTGGCCAACCGGACTTGGGAGGGTTTGGGTGATCCGAAAGCTCGAAGGGCGGCGCTTTTCAGGTTGCTCTCAATCTGTTGACATATTTGCTCCGCAAGACCCCAGTTAATTGATCTCAAGCAGAAATCAAAGTGCATGGCAAGTTTCTGAAACTGCCTTTTCTCTTCGCGCCCGAACTGGCGTGGCACTTCGCCAGACTGAGGACTGGCAGCAGCCCCGCAGGCTGGCTCTAAAGCTGCAGAGATCTCAATACTCCGCGGACATGGGTCCCGAATTGGGTAGGAAATAGGAATGTATTCTCCGGAGCCGTAGGCCCTTTGAGGTAAAAGCTGAGGCAAGCTCTCAAATGCAAAAGGCTCAACAAGAAGCCAGTCGGATCTGGCCGTTTGCGTCCTGCCCTCCAACTCAACGCCACGGTTATCATTCCCTTTTTCTAACTACATCCAAAGCGGGTACCAAATTGTAGAGGCGACCATTCCGCCGTGTGAGTTTCTCCAGTTCGCCATGTTTTCCCAGGTTTCTTACCGGAACAGTTCGTCGAGTGTCGAGAAAAAATGGGGCACACCGGAAATTTCCTCGCGAGGCAACTGGCCAAGCCAGGCGCCGAAGAGGCTCGCTCTGTTCGGATGGGAAACGGACGGAAACGAAGCACCCTGACGGCTGAAGTGCCAGTGTTGAGAGGTCCAAATGGCTGTGGGTCAAAAATGCGTACCCAAAATGGAACCCTGCTAAACTAAAACCTGCGGTCCCCTGGTGGTTTTATTTTGACCCATACCCAAATGATCCTTACGTAAGATGGGCTAAGCCTGATTCGGACTAAGCTTGATTAATGTTTCGTACGCAGAGCTGCCAGTCGCTAACAATGCCTGCGGAGTATGGTCGGAATCAATACCAGAGTTTGCCGTGACCTGATCGGTAGGCTCACAAAGATCCACAAGGCACGCTAGCGGAGAGCCGACCCATTCTGACAGCTGACAGCAGGTTGCCACGAGATGCAGTTCGGCGCAGGCTGCGGGAAACGGTTGCATCATGTTGCATCATGTGAGCACCTGTCAAAACACCATGATCATATTCTGTTGGAAGGGCGCGGGTGTCAAAGTTTGTCATGATCAGAGCCATTTGAGCCACAATTCAAACCTGGAGAATTGGAGGGTAAACCGGCGCGGCCACCCTCTGTTCCTGACAGCCTCTGATGAGGACTTTTTTTTTGGGAGGAGAGATGTTCGTTTGTGCCGCTTGTGGCGGCTGAGGTTGATTGAAAGCTCTCAAATGCTGTCAGCGAATGAGTTGAATTGACACCTCCAGGATAGGCCGTTCTGCAGAACGGTTTTGGCTTAGACTTATCCCGATTTCAGTGTGCCAGTTTGTTTGCTGGCACTATCTGACCAGTCGCAATGGAGCTGGCAATGTTCAATGTGCATCTTGGCAAATATTGGCACGTTTGCCGCGACTGGGTGAAGGCTGATCTCAGCATCACAAGGCCACTATCTACTTTAGAGTTGAGGCATTGGCAGATAGCGGATGTTTCACTGTGCTTTCTTCCGATTTTTTTGCATCTTTCCGGGGCACTGAGGAGTCATGGCTTCACGGAGTCAGTGGTCCGCGGGCTTAGATCGGGATTCCTGGGACCTGAAGACTACCGGCGGCTCGGCAGCTGCGACACGCTCGAGGATATGCGCTCCGCCCTGGAGGAAACGGACTACGGGACTTTCCTGCAGGAGACGCGGTCAAAAAAGCGTGAGGTTGAAGAAAGGTCGAAACCTACCAACAGCCAGCTTCTACACTTGGACCCATTCAAAATTTAGGAAAGGTCAAGAAAAGAAGCAGTTTCTCTTTCTCCAATAGCTGAGGAACCGAATAATGAACCGATCTTGATAAGTTTGTTGGCAGTTGAAAAGTGGACATCCAACAGCCGGTTGACATCTGGATCCTCGAGTGCTAGGATGAGCCCTCCCCGTTGCTGGTGTCCACCATCTCCAAGAAGTGCTACGAGAAGCTGGCGGACGAGTTCCGGTACCTGAAGGCCCAAACGGTAGAGCCCCTGTCCACCTTCATGGACTTCATCGCGCGGGAGAAGATGATCGACAACGTGTGCATGATCATCCAAGGACTGGGGACTGGCCCCGAGTGCTCGGTTCTTTTTTTTTTTTTTTGTTCTTTCCGGTTCTTAATTTTCTTCTTTGCTCATTCATCCACTCTTGACACCCTTGCTTGATGTAAGGGTGTGGCCCTGTTTTGGGAGCACGTTTTTGGATCCGCCCTAAATCCTAAACCCTAAACGCTAAACCCTAAACGCTAAACCCCTTTCACTACAACTGCTTGGTTTCAGGGCCTTGATGACAGGAGCCTTGAACAACAAGGCGCCCAAGGAGCTCGAGGAGAAGGTCCATCCCCTGGGCGTTTTTGAGGGCATGAAGGTGATCATGTCCGAATCCTTCGATGTGCAAGGTGTGGGCGTTTTGGGGCGGCCGTTACAGCACGGAAAAGGGGTCCACGATAAAGGTGAGAAATCTCATTCGGACCACGTTTTTCGGTTCCTTGGGGATTCTGGGGTCGTGTGAGTTTTTCTGTTTCTGCCTTGTTTGTTTGTTTGTTTTTTCTCCAGGGGGCTTTGACGATGTGTACCGCATCTTCTTGGTGGACACGCCCATCGGGCCCTACTTCGAGGAATACCTCAGAGAGGCGGACCGCGACAAGGACGACATGGCGCGGTCCGGCATTGAGACGTCGCAGGTGGGGGGCATTTTGACCAAGCAGGACCTGGAGATCATGAAGACCAGCTCCGCGGACAGCAAAAAAAGCACTTGTCTAGGGGTCACTTCCATTTCCATTCTTTCCAGGGATCCTTCTTTCTACAAAAACCGCCAAAAGCCCTGGGGAAATGGCTGGTTTTTGAACAGAACGATGTCTGAAAACAATGGGGAGTCAACCCCTAGAGCTTGTGGGCATTTGCTTTGCTTTGGGTTTGGCTCCCGCGAAAAAGGGACTCTTTGCACGTATTTTGATAGAGCCAAACCTGATGGTTGGAGCGCTCAGAATAGAGCTGCAAGCAAGAACACTACCTGCCTTACTCTACGGGACTCCCATAGTTGAATTGAACCTTCCCACCTAATAAAGAATATGCAAGGATGGTCTTTGGGATATGTATCCAGGATGATGGTATTGGTGTATGCTCATTTGGTTTTATTCGGGGTAGTATGCACAACCTGAAGTTTACAGTCAGCACGCATTTGCACTACCGTGATGTGATATGCAACTGGCTGTTATGATTGGCTCTTTGGGGCTAAACAACAATATGTTTACCGAATGGTCTTCCATTGAACGTGAAGCTTCAGAATTCATGCAGATGGCAGGGGATGCCGTTGTGGTGTCTCACATGCAATTAATAATATGTCCGCGTACACGAGCTTACACACACACACACATATATATATATATATATATTAATATACACGTATGAGTATAGATGCAAACATTCACGCACAGACACATGTGCACACATGGATGATTTTACAATCACACCACGTCGTGATCCACAACCTTTTTTGTTATACATTTCAAGTATGCACAAACTTTTTCACAATTTCTCAGTTGCCCCTTGCTTTCTCGATGTCGTGATGGAAGCAATCATGCATTGTTTATGTATTTTTGTCATTATTACTAATATCATTATGCATCTTTGCCAATGATGTGGATTCATCATTTGCATGCGCAGTTCGAGCCTGCAAGCTGGATTCAAGCTTGGCATGTCTGCTTTGCATCCAGTGTTTGCTGCTTAACGGGGTGGTTATGTGCGATCGGCTCGAGGCAGCGAAAAAAGGGAACCAGCTTGTCATCTTGCATCAGATGAACATGAGTGCAAGTAGGCGGCCCTTTCGAAATGGTGGTTTTTCCTGGTCTTCCGAGCGATTCCATGATTGACGCTGACCCGGAAAAGAACAATCCTTATGTGGCTTTTGGGCTTTTAGCATGGCGTCGGGTTTCCTTTTCATTTCTGTGCAACCCAACTTGAAAAGGATTCGCACCTCTGCTTCTTGAGGGTAGATGGGCCCCCCTGGGCTGCCACTCCCTAACCAAACAGGGCTCCAAACCGCCGTCCGAGGCCTGAAGAAGGCCTGGCTGGAGGACTTCTATGGCTTCGTCCAGTCGCAGGGGGGCACCACAGCCGAGGTCATGGGACACGTCCTCAAGATGGAGGCGGGGTGTGTGTTTTTCGAGTTGGAGGCAGACTTGCGCCATTTTTATTTTATTTTAAGAGTTCCTTTTGTCTTGTTAAACAAGTTGCTTTCGTCCACCTCCCTTTCGTAGTTTTGAGGCAGACTTCCGCGTCCTGCTGGTCACCATGAACGCTCTGAACACCTCGCTTAGCACCGAGTCCTCCCTGCAGGATCGAAATGTAGCCTGGCGGGGGACAATCAGAAGCATCGGGTCCTGCAAAAGTCTCTCAAATTTAGGAACCCTTCCGATGGTCGGTGCCCCTTAAAGCCATCTAAAAGCACCCACACCCCTTTGGGTCTGAGGTTCAGGCTTCCGGCTTGAAATGGTCACCGGTTCATTTGGGTTGGCATCTTGACTGCCTTCACATGGCATGTGGCTCATGCGCTGAGGCCTTGTATCCCAACTTCGGCTACCTTTACCCGGAGGGCACCAAGGCACTTCAAGCCTTAAGGGTCGTCGCAGAGCCATGCCAAGAACACAAACTCCCAAAAGGCCCAGGGGAACGGGCAGTCCACCCCTTGAAATATGAGGACTATGAGGGTGCTTGTACCCATGACTCGACATGGGAGTTTTGCATGTCGCTCATGTCTTCTTTTTTCAGTCATTTCTGCCGAATTGTATGGTCACACCCAGTTTCATGTAGATGCACACAGCAGTTCTTCGATGCAACTTGTAAGACCAAAACTGCACATATACATACATCTCTTTCTTTCTCTCTCTCTCTCTCTCTAGATACGCACATGAACAGACGCAAGTGTCTTTATCTCTTTGCACATGTTCATTTCCGGAACGGAAAGCATGAACTTTGGCCTGATGCTCCACAGGCACCCTCCCTCCAATCATGGAAGTAGACAGGGAGGTTTGCCAAAAGGACAATGGTCTTCCCATTCCTGTCAGCTTCCATGATTGGAGGGAGGGTAAAGCAAGATGATTGAAATTTTAACGCCTCCGGCTCAGGCCGCCGACATTACAGGCTTGCTTTCTTATTTGCGTCCCTTTGGAATTTCCCCCACTTTCCCCCCCTAAGGCCTTTTCCCCCCCGAGATCTTTTCCCTTTCCTCCCTGAGATCTTTCCCCCCCCTTCCCTGTTGAGATCCTTTCCCCCCTTTCCCCCCTAAGGCCTTTCCTTCCGCTGAGATCTTCTCCCTATTCCTCCCTAAGATCCTTTGCCCCCTTTCCCTGTTGAGATCCTTTCCCCCCCTACCCCGAAGGCCTTTCCAGATCTTCCCCTTTTCCTTCCTAAGATTGTTTCCCCCCTTTCCCTGTTGAGATCCTTCCCACCCTTTCCCCCTAAGGCATCTCCCTTGCTGAGACCTTCTCCCTGTTCCTTCCTAAGATCTTTCCCCCCTTTCCCTGTTGGCCTTTTTTCCCCCAGATCTTCTCCCTTTCCTCGCTAAGATCTTTTCCACCCCTTTCCCTGTTGAGATCATTTCTCCCCTTTCCCCCCTAAGGCCTTTGCCCCCAGATCTTCTCCCTTTCCTCCCTAAGATCTGCTGAGATCCTTTCCCCTCTTTCCCCACCTAAAGCCTTTCCCCCCCTGAGATCTCCCTTTTCCTCCCCAAGATCTTTTCCCTCGGTTGAGATCCTTTCCCCCTTTCCCCCCGAGATCTTCTCCCTTTTCCTCCCTAGGATCTTTTCTCCCTGTCCCTGTTGAGATCCTTTCTCCCCCTTTCCCCCCGAAGGCCTTTGCAGATCTTTTTCCCTGTTGAGATCCTTTCCCCCTTTCCCCCCTAAGGCCTTTCCCCCCTGAGATCTTAAGGCCTTTTCCCCCCTGAGATTTTCTCGCTTTTCGATCCTTTCCCCCTGTCCCCCCTAAGGCCTTTTCCCCCCCTGAGATCATCTCCCTTTTCCTCCCTAAGATGTTTTCCCCCCTTTCCCTGTTGAGATCCCTTCCCCCCTTTCCCCCCTAAGGCCTTTTCCCCCCTGAGATCTTCTCCCTTTTCCTCCCTAAGATCTTTTTCCACCTTTCTTTATTGAGATCCTTTCCCCCCTGTCCCCCCTAAGGCCTTTTCCCACCCTGAGTTCTTCTCCCTTTTCCTCCCTAAGATCTTTTCCCCCCTTTCCCTGTTGAGTTTCCCCCCCTGAGATCTTCTCCCTTTTCCTCCCTAAGATCTTTTGCCACCTTTCCCTGTTGAGATCCTTTCCCCCCCCTTTCCCCCTAAGGCCTTTTTTTCCCCTGCGATCTTCCCCCTTTTCCTTCCTAAGATCTTTTCCCCCCTTTCCTTGTTGAGATCCTTTCCCCCCCTTTCCCCCCTAAGGCCTTTTCCCCCCAAGATCTTCTCCCTTTTCCTCCCTAAGATGTTTTCCCCCCTTTCCCTGTTGAGATCCTTTCCCCCCTTTCCCCCCTAAGGCCTTTCCCCCCCTGAGATCTTAAGGCCTTTTCCCCCCCTGAGATCTTCTCGCTTTTCCTCCCTAAGATCTTCTCCCACCTTTCCCTGTTGAGATCCCCTTTCCCCCCCTGAGATCTTCTCCCTTGACCTCCCTAAGATCCTTCCCCTCTTTTCCGGTTGAGATCCTTTCCCTCTAAGGCCTTTTCCCGCCAGATCTTCTCCCTTTCCTCCCTAAGATCTTTTGCCACCTTTCCCTGTTGAGACCCTTTCCTCCCTAAGGCCTTTCCCCCCCTGAGATCTTTCTCCCTTTTCCTCCCTAAGATCTTCCCCTCTTTTCCGGTTGAGGTCCTTTCCCCCCTTTCCCCCCTAAGTCCTTTTCTCCCAGATCTTCTCCCTTTCCTCCCTAAGATCTTCCCCCCCCCCCCTTTCCTCCCTAAGATCTTTCCCACCCTTTCCCTGTTGAGGTCCTTTCCCCCCTTTCCCTCCTAAGGCCTTTCCCCCCCTGAGAGCTTCTCCCTTTTCTTTTCTAAGATCTTTTCCCCCCTTTTATTGTTGGCCTTTTTTCCTCAGATCTTCTCCCTTTCCTCCCGGAGATCTTTCCCCCCCCTTTCCCTGTTGAGATCCTTTCCCCCCTTTCCCTCCGTCATTTCCAGATGTTCCTTCACCAGCATGGGCAACATCCCCCGCATCACTTGCATCATCCGCATCCTTGGCAGGCGCTGATGCGGATGATGCAGGTGATGCTGGCGATGTTCCGCTGGAGCTGCTAAGGATGCGAAAGCGGACCCGGGGGGAATCGAACACCCCAATGTTTTTGACAATCTGAGTTGCGCAAGCCTGCGCAATGAACAGATTTAGTGAAGAGTCTTCGAATCACCGCGTGGTACGTGGACCCCCCCCCCCCCCCCGCAATAGTCTGAAATGCTGCCCCTGGGGAGGGGTTAGGGGAGGGGTAACAGGTAAAGAGGTAAGGAGCATTTCTTATGTCCAACACGCCGTCTGTTGTCGGCGGATTTGAGGAGGATTCACATCTTCAAGACAATGGATGCTTTTCTGTTCTCGAGACAGCCGTGGGCTGATGTACTGATTGCAGTTTTGCTTGGGATGTTTTCCTAGGGTCCCCGTGCCACTGACAACAACTCCGCTTGGACAGTGCTTGGTCAAGAATAGAATCCCATGCTTGCAGTTGCGCACCAACCGAGACCACTTGTTTCAGCGGCCAATTGGTCTCCACCTGGTCGCTTTTTGTGGGCCATCGGTTTCTAGGGGTCGCAGCACCAACCTTTTCTCGTCTTTTCTCACCTTTGTTTTTGGGCGGGTCGCCGAACTGACCCAACTTTTTCTCGTCTTTTTCTCAAGCAAGACGCGCCCTCCGCTTTTTTTTTCTTAGAGGGGGGAGTGATCGATCTCTGAAGAAATCTCCCCCCGAAACGAAGCGGCCAGCGGCCAGGAGCTGCGAAAGGTCTTCAACGACACCACGGTGCGGGCGGCGCTGGAGCCCTACTCCAAGTACCTGCAGCTCTTCGATCAGGCGAGGTGCTTTGCAGGAACCAATATGGGGGAACTCAACAAACTCTGATCAAGACAAAGGGGCTCACATGGACTCGCTCATTTTTTTCATGTCCAGTTGGGGGAACAAGACATTTGGACCGTGGCTCATGTCCATCCGGGTCGCGCGCGTGTGTGTGTGTGTGTGTGTGTGTGTGTGTTTTTTTAATCCGATGCAGGTGAAGGACTTCTATGACTCCGAGTCTGGTGGGCGTGGCGCTGGCTTCCAATCCATCGAGGATTTGATCTACGCCGCCGCCTGGCGGAAACCGACCGGCGCCTTGATGTTTGGCCGAAGGGCTCTTGGCAAAGCAAAGCGGAGCCACCAATGAGGGTTTGGCTTGGTCAGGTTTTATTGTCAGCCATCTATGAGGATTTGGTTTGGTGAAGGTTTGTTGTCAGCCATCTATCAGGGTTCGGTTTGGTCAATGTAATCGTAATTCTCTCGGCCGCACGTTTTGGTTCGCGTGACACCCCTTTCATGCAGATTCACCATCCAAGGAGGTCTTGAACAGGCTGTGGAAAGGTGCTTAAAATGAGTGAGCATTAAGTTTCTCATAGCCAGATGTCACCAGGTGATTCCCGGAAGATCGAGCACACATGCCTTGTGGATTAGAGTCATGGTGGATCTTGAAACTGACATACAACTCGGACAAGCAGGTTTGACACCTGAAAAACATCAGCAAAACATCCTCCAAAGCCAGTAGTGGTGCGACCAAAGGTGGGCTGAGCCATGCATGTAGATCAAGATCTGAATGCAACCCGGCAGTGGTGTGCATGTGGACTTCAAACATATTTTTCCCGACGTCAATGGTCAAGTATTTTCTGCTTGTTTCCAGCTAAGCTACTGCTCATGGTTTCAACTTTACAATAGCAACCCTCACGTATGTCAACGACCTTCGTTTCTTCGACCTGAAGGTCCCAGTGCTTAAGTCTCTTTCTCCTGAGGAGAATGTCCACATGTACGAGATGGCCTTCGAGCAGCAGTATCACTTCGGGCTCTTCTACGCCTGGGTGAAGCTCCGAGAGCAGGAGATCCGAAACATCAGGCGTGGAAAGGCGTCGGTGCCCATGGCCAGCGGGGTAGGTGCAAGACAGACTGCAAGGAAGCGGTAGGATGGGGGCAAGGTACGCCGTTTTTGAACCTCACATGGTGGTGGGGCACGCGACCTTTTGGGTATGGACCAATCCTTGAGCCACCTCTGAATGGAGCTCGAAGCCTGCTTGGCTTGTTATTCCGCGATGGGCTCCTTGGCCGTTTGGGGAAGGTGTTGCAAAAGCATCTCGAAACTAGCCAGGGATTCCAGGCAAACCTCATAAGTGCACGCACATTTTTTGCACCTTGCCCAGATCCATGGCGCTTTGCTTCATTTAGATGGCATTTCCGGGATCACACGATTCAGGTGGATTGCCAACATGGTTGTCCTGGACAAGAAGGACCACATCGATGATACCATCGTCCCCATCTTTCAGCCGCGCATGTAGAGCTTTGTGCACTTCACCTCAGTGATGGGTTACAGCCAGTGGAGTGAAAGGCTCCTTGCACCAGGCGCTGTGTGCTGGGTTGTTGCGAGTTTTGCCGCACGCAAAAAAGAGCTCAGTCAAGCGAGGTGGCACCTATCTAGGCAGCCCCTATGTCACTTACAGATCGAATGCGTCGCGTTTTTGGAGGTCCCCTACGCTGCCCACAAATTCTTCACGTTGGGTGCGGCTTTGCTCAGCTTCCAGCCACAGGCTCCATATTTTGCCCGGCGGATTTACGCTGCGTAGAATGCGAGGAAGTGGGAGGGAGAAGTTTCGGGCCATGCCCAGATTTGCGGTGCGTGTGCTGTCGCCTCTAACCATCAGCCCTTGAGCCACGAAAGTCGTACCGGAATTCCAACTTCCAACAAGCACCTGGCAAAGGCCGAAGTCCACCTAAATCGGAAAGGGTGGGAGGCTTCGTTTCTCGGTTGCGACGTGTTGCCGGCGTTGCCGGCTCGCGCTGGAGAGCCGAAAGATATTTGTTGCGACAGAAATAGGCGAGGTGCGGAGAAATGCCCGGGGCTGTCTGGGGTGCACCAGGGAACCGAAGGCGAGATTGAACCAGCAGACTGGCGAACTGTTGATGTTCAAGCTGGGATCATTTGACATGTGCCAGAAAAGGTCAAGTATGGTGGGCCTGATGATTTCTCTTTCTGGTGCTGGTGGGAAGCAACGCTTTCAAAAGTGCAAGAGGCTGAATTGTGCTTCTGAAGTAGTTCTGCCGGCGAGACCGATCTCCCTTGTGACCCGTTGGCTGCTTCGACAAAGGTGACCAACACACATGACATTTCCCAGCAGTGGGAAATGATTTGACATCAGGTCTGCAAGGGTCTGATACTGTCAAGATTGTGTCACCATGGCATGAACAAAGCTGGCATGCTTGAGCCCTTGTGCTGCTGTGGGTGCCAGGTGAGTACCAGAACTTCGTGAGTGGAAAGTCCATGCAGTGTAGCTAGATGCAAGCAACCTATTTCACCTGTAACACGGCCAAAGGCCGAATACACGCACACATTTTATTTAATGTCGCCTGATATCAGGGCTCCATTGAATTCGCAAAAAATGTAACTAGAAATATATGCGACGAGTTGATTTTATGTATTATATATGGGACATATTATTCGAATATTGATAGATACAAATAGGCAAAAATCATTATAGTATTTGAAATGAATATATTATTAGGAGATCAATAAATAAATAGAATGTTTATATGTGTAATTATATATTAAATTTATAATATTTGTTGTTATTATCATAAAATTAGCCATTATATATACATATATATATATATATATGTAACCGGTGCGGCCTCGGGGTCGCATTTCTCGTGCCCCGCAGAGCCGTTCTGGTCTTTTCTCTGCGGCACAAGCTCCTGCCTCTTAGCGCGGCCCGGAAGTCCCGAAGATTTTGTCGAAATTTCGGGGGGTTCTTTAGATTTTCGCTTAGAGTTCTCGCGGCACAACCTGGCCAAATTGTCCAAAATTTTGGGTTGCTTCCACGGCCCGGCTCTCCAAACCCCAGACATTACCCCCGCGGGTCAAAATTCCAGGAAATTTGAGGATCTGTCGGATCGATTTGTTTCCGAAAATTTCGCGCTTTCCCTCTTTCCCTCTTTCCCTCTTTCCCTCTGTCCCTCTTCCTATCTTTCTCTCTTTTTCTCTTTCCCTCCTTCCCTCTTTCTCTGTTTCTTGCTTTCTATTTTCTCTCGTTCTCTCCTTCTCTCTTTCTGTCCGTCTCTCTGCCCCTCCGTCCCTCCGTCTCTCTCAGTCTCTTTCCGTTTCTCTCCGTCTCTCTCCGTCTCTCTCCGTCTCTCTCCGTCTCTCTCCGTCTCTCTCCGTCTCTCTCCGCCTCTCTCCGTCTCTCTCCGTCTCTCTCCGTCTCTCTCCGTCTCTCTCTGTCTCTCTCTGTCTCTCTCTATCTCTCTCTCTCTCTCTCTCTCTCTCTCTCTCTCTCTCTCTCTCTCTCTCTCTCTCTCTCTCTCTCTCTCTGCTCTCTTTCTCTCTCTCTCTCTCTCTTTCTCTTTCTCTTTCTCTCTCTCTCTCTCTCTGTCTCTCTTTGTCTCTCTTTCGTTTCTCTTTCCTTTCTCTCTTTCCTCTCTCTTTCCTTTCTCTTTCCTTTCTCTTTCCTCTCTCTTTCCTCTCTCTTTCCTCTCTCTTTCCTCTCTCTTTCCTCTCTCTTTCCTTTCACTTTCCTTTCTCTTTCCTCTCTCTTTCCTCTCTCTTTCCTTTCTCTTTCCTTTCTCTTTCCTCTCTCTTTCCTTTCTCTTTCCTCTCTCTTTCCTCTCTCTTTCCTCTTTCTTTCCTCTCTCTTTCCTCTCTCTTTCCTCTCTCTTTCCTTTCTCTCTCCTCTCTCTTTCCTCTCTCTCTCCTCTTTCTTTCCTTTCTCTCTCCTCTCTCTCCTCTCTCTCTCCTCTCTCTCTCTCCTCTTTTTCCTCTCTCTTCTCTCTCTCCTCTCTCTCTCTTCTCTTCTCTTG